CACTGAGTACGACGATATCTGAGATTATAACAATCTGAGACAACAACAATCCCTGTACTGAGTGACAACCTGGACTAAAAAGCTGTTGGGGTCAGAGTCTCAACATCTTCTCTGGACACTTATTTCATTACGCCCGGCTTCAGGTTTTGGTCTTGTCCACGTAACTAGTGGCACGCATGCACGGCCTCCAACGGACGTAAAAATGTGTTAAGCATGCTCGAATCATTACTATCGAGACGTTCGCTGCCACACCGTGGCCTTGTACACGACGGCCTTTTGGTCCGTTGTGTCAAGGTCGCGGGTGGCGGCATCTCTGCGGGGTGGGGAAGCTTCGGCTTCCCCACCTACTTCCTGTTCTGTGGCCTGGCCTTCGTGGTCGGGCTGCAGATTTTGGTCTACGGTGTGGCGTCCAACCACTTCGGCAACAGCCGTGTCTTCGGGTAAGTGTGTGGTCAGTGAGGCAGCCGGGGCTGGTGGCGGGGCAGGTTACTCGTTGAACCTGGTATAATCTTTCGTTCCTTCAGACTCTCGGCTGTTGCCGTTCTCACCACTGCCGCGCTAGCGGCATACCGCATCACGTGTGCCGCTAGCCGGCACGCGTCACACCGTAGGCGGGTGGCCCGGCTTCGAAGCGCCAGGCGAAGCCTCCAAAGAAAGTCCTCGTCGGTCGGACACAGGCGTAGACGTTCCATCAGCAGCGTCTACGACCTGGTGTGAGGGCCGGCAAGACCACCACGGCCGCCCTACCAAGCGTTCGTTCTTCACCCAGCCGTGGTGTCAAATGAAACTGGCCGCCAACACATTCTTCTCACTTGCGTAACTTGTTCGTTCGTTCATTCATTCATGCCTTCATCGTGACCAGATCGCTTCGGGCAAAACCTGGTGTTCTGCGCCGTTCGTTACAAGAAGATAATCTACTACTCAAAAAAACCGAAACAAGTAAAGTGCGTGTCTTCTCAAATCCAGTAAAGTCTTCTCAGTATTAGAGTCATTGAAGACTCCACGGCTTCGCCCAACCACTTTTTGTAAACCGCGCCATCATCCATTTGCGCTTGTACCGCATTTTCATGATTAGAGAAGTGAACGAATCACTGGACATGCCCGCTAACATTACCAACACCGGAGATCTGGCGCCTTGATTAGCCATTCTACAGTACAGTAAACCTACTTTAGGTGAAGGTCAGCGTGAGTAGTGGTTACTCACCGCGACGGTCGGTAACTTCCAGTAGAGCTACTCAAAATGACGAAGCTTTACTGGAAGTTACTGACCGCCATGGTGAGTAACCCCATAACACTCTCCGGCATGATCTTCGTCTCCCCCTGGATGTAATGGGCCACCGCAGGCCCGGTCAAGTGAACGTCTCTCAACTGATGCACTTGACCAGACGTGCGGTTCCAGTGCTTCTCCAAGCAGGAGTAGACGGTTGCCAGCGGGGCATCCAAGCGAGAGTGGGAAGGGTAGCCCTTGACCGTGCGTCCCACCTGTGTACTTCCAGTATCCAGCAACCCAGGCTCCTCCAGCGAACCGACCGTGAGGAGCTGACCAGTGAACGCGGGGGCTATTTCGGTGGCCCTCTGCAGAGCCACAAACTTCGCGTCAGCCTCGGTGAAGCACACTTCCTCAAGCTGCCTTGCAACCCGCCACCCATTTTCGTTGTCTGCCAGTGGCACCTTTTAGTTTTGTATCAGGATGGTCATACCTTTTTTTGTTTTCCGAAAATTTCCGGATGCACGCGTGTTTGTATGCACACACTTTTGTGGCGCGTCATCAAAAAAGATGAGGCGCGCGGTCCCGTAAGTTGAGGTGTGAGTTGTCGCCCTCGGTTCTCTTCGGCGGCACCTTCGGTTCGTTCAGCGGCAAGGTCGCGGGTTACCATTGAGCGTGGTTGACGGTTCCCATATTGAAAAAAAGGTTCCTGTCCTTCGTGGACATAACAAAAGGTCTTACGACAGATCGTGAGGTGCTGTCAGCTGCGCGTCTTGGAACCGTCATAGCTAACTGAGCTCGTGCTGTTGGACCCCAGCCACAGCACCCCAACAACCCTTTTTTTGACCATTCACTGACATACACGACGGCTGCCAGCTCTGTTGAAACTCAGCACCGACAAGAGAATTGAAGACGATTGTGATGAACGAATTGGGGGTCAGAGTTTTTACGAACGCCAGCATTCAACAACCTCATGACCCATGGCGCTTCCAGCTTGTCCGATGTGTGGGTGAAGAAATCCCTCACCCGTGAGCAATCGTTGTTCTTTGTTGACGGGGCTTTTTGCTTCGATCGCGTTGTCAGCTCTTTTTTTTGTTACCAGAGCGGCGCACCACGAGTTGAAAATGGCCACCCCAGTAATCTCAGCCGGACACATAGGGGGCCGCACATACGGGGTTGGTGTGAGAGAAGAAAGGAGTAATTGAGAGGGATACATCAAAAGCTTCGTAACTACAACTGAATACGCTAGCGTTGCGTTTGACTTCCATGTCGACCAGTACCGTCATGACCAGAGTCTCGAAAGACCGTTGATTCCCAAGGCCGTCAGTTGTTGCCACCTTCGCACTGCAACCCTGAACGCCCTTCCCCGCCCGCCCAGAAAGGCGACACAGAAAGAATCCACCCCCTTGATTCTCAGGACGCACTCCTTTCCATTGACACGTTGTGATCTTTCGGGACCAAAAAACTCGGAGTTATCAATAGCGAGGGATTTGGTTCGTTCTGGATTTCCCCGGGGTGTCATTACTCGCGGGTCGGGGTAGTTTTCTGTGCCGCTTATTGAGTCATCGTGCTTCGGTGTGGCTGTGCTGCCATGGTAACTCTGGGGCCCGTGGACATAACACGCACACGACAAGAGACAATACTCAACTGAGGACATAACCAGTTCCTTAGGCACCCTGACCAGGCCGTCACTCTCCACACGCGTTTTCGCCTCCTAGGGACTTCACAAGAACCCACTACTTCCTCCGCGGTTCTCAGCAATTCGGGCATCCTCTAAGGCTGTGGCACTCCGTGGATCCAATTTTGCAACCACCTGACACGGTATCGACCACTTGCGGGCCTTCATGAAAACCGACGGCGACTCTCTATGAGTCTTCAGCGACCGCTCACGTAACCTGTACAGTACCGCGTCAGCAACCGCGATGTCGCGCTTATCTTCCTCACCACCAATGCGCGGCAGGGTGTAAGTTTGACACTGCGCTCGACAGACAGAGCGTAACCAACCAACTGCGAAGGTGGCCATTGACGGACCGCACACAACGGCGAATGGTGTGGAACCAGGACTCCAGAAAATGCTACCAACCCAAAGAGATCTCCCTCCTTCCTACCAGGCCTCTCCCAGTGGCGGACCCAGTGGCGGAGAGCCCAACAAACCTACGCCGGAGTTCTTCCTCAGTGGCGGGAAGAATTACGGAACATAAAAATTGCATGCGAGGTCTGGCAAGTGGTTCGTTCTGGGGTGAGTCATGCGGAAGGCTTGTGTCTAATGTATTGGTTAGCATCATCAATGTGTGGTGTGCCGAGGATTATTGCGAAATGAGTGCGAAGGATATTATGCGAAGTGACGAAGAGGGCTTTCTACGGCTGATAGCCGATTGTAATCCTCTGTTGTACTGCAACTTGGAGTCGAAGGTAGTGTGCGAAGCGGTAATCCCGACGGGGTCTCGGGACAGGCTGATCGGGCTCGAGGGGTGGGCGTTGGATGTGATCCGCAACAAGTGGCAGCACATGGTGCCGCCACAGGTTCTGCGGGAAGCTGGAGGGAGCAACGCGACAGTTGAGAGTTTAGTGAATGCTGCCGAACGATACCCCGCCTCGATTTTGTGCCCTTCATTAATTTATGACAACTTGCTGACAGGCTCTCTACCGATGGATTCTCTCCCTGTCAGTACGGAATCTCTGCAAACTCTAAAAGCTCGCCAACAGTCGGAGTCGCCGATGGAGTTTAACAGTCGATCATTGGACGTGGAAATTATGAGGCGGCTGCCACTCTCTGGAAAAAGCCTTACGAACAGCACGTTCGCTCAGTTATCTGAATCTATTCGGTCATCGCTAAATAGTCAGCTGGCGAACCCCGCCACGCCGTTCAGTGGTGAGCGCGTGTCCTTGAGTCGGTACGCGTTCGACCGTTTGCTGTACGAGACTATATGTGAACATTGTCGAGGACTCGCGGAGGAGGCTACAGACCCAGCTCTGCCGGACCCAGCTCTGCCGGACCCAGCTCTGCCGGACCCAGCTCTGCCGGACCCAGCTCTGCCGGACGGTCTGGTGCCGTTGGTATACCTGCGGTGGGCGTATGACGCGATGGTGGGCGGGTGGTTGGCAAGTCGTCTGTCACGGGTGTGCCATGGAGAGGTCGTGGCAGCTTGTCCGGCATTAGGTAATGGAGCCGCGGAGTCGCAGCTTCTGGCAGCGGAACGGAAGCGGTCGGCGTACGCGTTGGCGAAGACCATGGCTCGTGACTATGGGCGTGCGGTACGTTCGAAGCAGAAGGGGCCTAGGTTACCGTGCTACTCGAAGTACCTGCACGGGACGTTGAACCAGCGACTGGTCTCGCTCGCCGAGTGGGGACAGGAACCGGAGCCGGTGAAGTACGTCTCGGACTCCCTCATTGATCAGACACTGGCCGCGTACGGTGCGGCGCTGAGTAAGGTGCTGGATAGGCCGTACGTGTGTCAAGAGTACACGGTTGACCAGCTCGTGGAGATGGTCAACACGCACGTGGAAACCACCCGACGCCTCGGCCACCCCAGCCTCTCAGACAACCAGCGACAGGCGTTGGCACACATACTTACCACTCTCATCGCCCAACCAGACTGCAAACTCGCGATCACCACCAGACTGAATGCAGGACCTGGACTCTTTCCCGTCCGCCTCAACCTCCAACCGTGCCTCGTGCCCTCCCTTCGGGTCCAAGACTTTGCAACCATCCCCAGCCGCCGCGACACCCCCAACCACAGCAATGCCACACTGCGGGCCTTGTAGAAATGGTTGTAGTGTTCTTCCTTCGTGTTCGCACCAATCAGCCGCACGGGTGTGCAAAACCGACACGGAGAAACGACACGGATTGCCCGCACGATCTGTGCGCCAGTTGCTTGTCTTCATGATTACTGGTTCTGTCTGAAAGAGCTCAGTTGATGAGAGTCTATTGAGGCATTGGTAGAAGCAGCGTTTGAACACCGGCAACTTCTTGCGAAGGCAGCACGCAAGCGATAACAAGGTCGTTGCAAGCGGAATGGGTAGAGGAAGGCGTGAGGAATCTCGTCAGATTTTTAGACTTCATTGTTATTTCGCTTGAGCCGGAATGCCGGTAACCAAAATTCTTCGCAGAACTCGAAGACACCCGCAGAACTGCAGCCTGCCGGTGTCCGGGTGCGGAGAACCTTGGCTACAGCACTGAGTACGACGATATCTGAGATTATAACATCTGAGACAACAACAATCCCTGTACTGAGTGGCAACCTGGACTAAAAAGCTGTTGGGGTCAGAGTCTCAACATCTTCTCTGGACACCTATTCCATTACGCCCGGCTTCAGGTTTTGGTCTTGTCCACGTAACTAGTGGCACGCATGCACGGCCTCCAACGGACGTAAAAATGTGTTAAGCATGCTCGAATC